AAGGGAACAAATTCATTTACGGAAGTTGGGTTGTTCATTGCTAAAGACTCACGTAATAATGGGTTTGTAAGATACAAGGGAAGGGTAGGTAAAATAGTGGTGTGTGTAAGGTAGCAACCTGATAATGGTCCATCAAGAGAGCGCGCGCGATAGGGAGAAAATAGGTACCGTTATTTCCAAATCTAAGCCGATGCTATTTGGACAATTTTCCCTTGCTGTAGAGTGGGGTGGGCCTATGAATAGGTTGTTCGGAATTTGAAAAGGCATGCAAAATCCACCCAGGAACTTATTGCCCACCATTACTCTTTTCTCCCCATAGGACTACCAGCTAGTAACGGATGCTATTACAGACAGGGATTGGAAGTGCTTGTAACTGGACAGGTTACTTTTGTATGGCAAATTTTCCACATATTGCATATTTGACGTTCGCTACGGATGACAGTAACCAATCAAAAGCCCTTAAACATTGCGTTATGATAGGCGATCCGAAGCCTTCAAAGTGCAACATCGCCTTACACCTATGACGGTGATCTTCGCTCTGATCGACTGTTCTACTGTGGTTCATATGCATCAGGCCCCCGACTATGCGAGGCGGCCTATCTGACAACCTCTCACGTTACCCTATATTGTCGGCCGTCTTATCTGATTCATGTGACTTGCCGTTTCGTCGATAAACTGTCCGGTGCAGTGAGTCTGTTCTGACAGCCCTATGCCCCATAGTAGGGCAGGTTGCACTTGAACTCACTCAAAGGAGAGCAACTAATGATGAAGTCAAAATCGTGGAGAAAATTTTTCTTCTCTTTTGCTGAGATTTTAGGGGTCGGCTAATACAGGTACTTACGACTTTAGACAAATTTGATGTTGCAAATTTGTACTGTCCGCTTATCTATGGACAGGCTTATATTCGGTAATATACGGTATTTGTGTGATTCCATGGTTCTCGAAGCCGAAGTTGGTGGGTTGTCTTAGGAAACTACGGCCCCGAGACTTTGGCCAAGGGGCTAACTCCCACAAACCGCAAGACGATGCATGGCGTTCGCGGCCTTTGTGAACCGGCGATTGAGCACTTAATTTATACGTCTTGCGGATGGCAAAAACCATGCCAGGGGTTCAACACTCCCGAAGTTAGAGGCAGAATCAAATACTCGGATTGCTTACCGGTGGACAATGTATCTGAAGAAGACAAGGAGCAATACCTTTATTTAGTGGCGAGTCACATCCGCAATGTCTCAGTGTTGTTAAGGATGCACTTTTGGCTTTTTATATGAAGAATGTCTTTTCAGGTGAAAGCCCACTATGCCCCTGGAGCACTGCCGCTGAAACATCCGCTGAAACGGGAAATTCCGGAAACGTCCAGCTGGCACAACGGACAGGTTGTTTTGCAAGCCAAAACATCAAACTACTATAATAGTCAGATTAATCGAAGGATTGGTTAAGAAACTTGTAATGAATTTCATCTGCATTGGAGGGGTAATCTAAGCCCCAACATGGTTTCCTTGCTCAGCAATCGTACACAACCTGACTGCTACCTTATGTTAGCTACATATGCTAGCTACATATGGAAATCTGTTGACTCTGATGCATTCAGTATTTTATTCTGGGGTATGTAAAAGGTATTCGATAGGCTAGCCACGAACGGCTATTGATAGAGATGGCTTTTTTGGACTCCAGGACTCACTACTTGGTTGCCCATCACATTACTGAACCGTCAGCATCTTGTAGTCTCTTTAGGTGCCCAGCACTCTCCCACGGGTCTAATCAACAATGGAACTGTCCACGAACTGTGCTCGGTAAATTACTGGTCCTTCCTTATATCAATGACCTTCATAATTGCAAATGACGTAAAGATTTTCTAAAAGTTTCGACAAGGTGAATTTCAGAACATACTACTACTCATTCAAAATAAGTTTCCTCCTTTGAGGCATGGTGGCACAAGAGGATTATGAAGTTCTCGGCAAATTATCAAGCATCACATGTCGCGGTTATTTGATACCTGAAGGATATATCACACTCAATAACGATTACCTCTGTGTACAACTGCCACTTAATGACCTCGGAATCAGAAGGCATACAGAGGCCATTTATTAGACAAATAGTATGCAAAACTCTACCCTGAATTATCTGGAACGATGCTAGCAACTTCTTCTCGATCCACTTTGTTTCAAGCTGCCCTCATGAAAATTGTAGCACATTGCCAAATGGGCCCTTCATACTAAAGACATTCCCTGGTTACACCAGGATTCGGGACAAATTTGCAGCTCCGTTTCTTTCCAATCACATAAGCTGCTCGGTTGAATCGGTTCCTAGTTCAGGTAGCGTAAGGACGCGCAGTCATTTTGTACTGAGCTCGAAGGCTACTTCGATGTCAATGGTCAATGGCATATTGCTGACAAAGAAAGCAGTAGTCTAACATGTTCCGCCGGATGACGGCAAAAATGCAAAATGACGGCAAAAATAGCAACAGGAATTAGTGAACTACCGCTAATTGCGAAGTTGCAGGTTACAGTGTTTCCGTCGGAACAGTTCACACTTGGTTTTATGTATTATCCAAGGTTACTGTCTTTGGTTTCCTAGCAAAAATGAAGGTGGTTGCATTTGTTTTATTTTTGCTGCTGTTTGTATGAGTCGTTTGGTGTACGTGATATGGTGCAGTACAGCCAGTGCGCTGTCGACACGTGCTTTGAACATGACTAACGTGGGGCTGAACTAACAGCTTCTGAGAGGGTATTGCACGTTTGGCAAACGTGCAGCGAGACAAAGTTTCTTCGACATTCCAACCCACTGTACTGTTCTGCCAATTGGAGATGATTACCCCTCAGTTTATTGTTGTGACTCAGCTTCAGCATCCGAAGGCACAGGTTATTTGCATTTTTTAACATTTGGTAAGCCATGATTAGGTCAACACACAAACGCAAGACTGTGTCCTTGTTCTCGTGGGGGGGGGGGAGATCGCGTGACGAGCGGTCCCAGATAACATCTAATGGGCGAAATAAAGGAGACACATGCAGGTAGCAGCCGTCGTTGTGTACGACATCCTCAAAGCACCAGTGTGCTTCACAAACATGTGACGCGTGGGCATTGCCACTAATACAAACAAAGACGGTCACACAAACGCATGTTACACACACACACACACACACACACACACCTGCATGGTGATACCTGTGCGTATTTGATCTATGCCAAATATGACACAGCTATTTGGTTAAGATATATACAATTATCATTACTGGTACTATTAAGGCATGTCATGTTCTCATCCCCTTAGGTACGAGGTACTTAGGGCGCTTTGTTATCTTGTGTTATCCTGTGTGTCAATACCTCCAAACAGACGGGAGTGCCGTGTTCATGTAGTAAAAGGCGGAGTACTCAGCGTAAAGCCTAAATGTTTTTCGAAGATGGCCAAATGTGCGGCGCAAACTACTGAGACCTGTGCATTTAGTCACCAAATGGGAATGCTTGACCTAGTTACGGTAGGTACCCTGTGTTGCTGTAGTGGCGATTTCAACTAGTTGGTTTGCCAAACAATGAAACCGATCTATAACGGGAAAAAGTGAGTCCGGAACAAGTCCCATAGGCTAAGCGAAGTAAGTATTCTAAAAGAAAATTTAAAATTGACGAGAAAAGGGAAATTCGGGTTTTAACTGCCTTACCAAGTCCCACACAAACACTAATGCAAACGTTCTCACCTTTACGTTACGAGGAAGGCTGATGAGCACGCATTTTGATTCGAGCTATTCGGTCATCAGACTGAAAGTTATTATATCATCCAAGCCCAATAGGACAGTGTGTCGTCAAGGCGCTTTTGGAAAACAGTCAATGTAGGGACAAAATCGTGAGTTCGAGGAGCATTTGGTGTTAGAGGCGCCGGAGGAGAAAAACTATTTTGTTGGAAATCTGGGTAGTTTATGTTTATCCCGTTCCAGTGAAGTGTTCGTCTGTCGTGCTCCAGGACGTAGCAGGTTTCTGTATAGAAAGCATTCTCTCCATAAAGACACAACTTCCTGTTTAAGAAGATTACATCGTGTCGCATGTGACTTGTACAGACTAAAGTCACTGCACTTTGCTTCACTTCTGAATCGCACTGTACAGTATTAACTCCTGTTTGGTAATTTACCGAACGGATGTCGCATGAACTATGTAAGCAGTCACTTACTCGCAATTGGCATGATCCCCTGAATTCACTCAAGCGATTTGCAATCAGGGCACTTAGTCAAAGTCTCGTAGTTGTGTTCCGTAATCCAACTCTTTACTAAGTTTTGGGAAACAGGATAGTATCGTTACACCTGAATAAACTGCGAACCGTTCCGAAAACACCAATGTGTCCAGTTTTCTTTCTCAAGGTGTAGTATCCACCTTTCATTCAATTCCACGGTTTTAGTCGGCTCCATATCTATCCGTTAGAGCATTGTAAATATATCAACACGTTTAAATGTACAGAGGAGTAGTGAGAAAAAGTGAATGGTATAAGTAAAAGTTTGTCATCTATTGACTGGGTCAGAGAGCCATAACACACCAGGAAAAGCACACTGCTGACGATTCCCGTGAGGATGAGATGGCCGTATAGTGTTTTTCATGTGTATGCAGGCTGTCTGACCTAGTCCAAACGTAATGTATTTACACTTGTAATATTTCTATTTGTTTGTGGCCATGTTATGCCTTCATATATCCAGATGGATATTGGTAGCCCTTTTTTATCATCCGAGCAATGGTATTTGCTGAATTGGTCCACCATGTGATAAGCTCACTTTGCTTGCAACGTAAAGATAAAATTCGCCTTTTAGAGCTCGTGCGCCTCTTCGTGTTCACATAGCCTCCTCTTTTGTGAAAAGAAATGAATCCGATTTTGGCACATGGTAGAAACATGTATCGTTACTTGTAGGACGCTTGTCGTTGACCTTCTCAGGCTCCGCTCTTGCTCGTAGGTTAGCGTGGGACAATAATCTGAATACAACCGTTAATTGCAAACAATATTTCACAGTATTTCATTCCTCTACTCGCCGCGCGTTGCTAACTATTCTTCGGAGTTCTTACTGGATCGCTTAGTACAACTTGCGAAGGCAAATGACTGAACTATCGATCAACTGGTTCAAACGAAATTATACCACTCTGGAGTTTTAACCTACGCAATGCCAGAAATGGGAACTTTAAGGAATTCAGGTGGAATACTTCGAAACTATTCTAACGCAGCGGACCGCACACAATGCACCAGAATATTGCGTGCCAAAATGATCCATATGTTACTTGCAGTGTTGCTACAAGCAAATTGCTGTTTAGAAAAGTCCTTTGCGATGAAGGAAACATTTTGCGCCGATCTATCCAATCGCCCATTGTCAATAGAAGAGCTGGAGAAAATGTTCCCGCTTTTTGGAAGCACAGATGATGTGTTGCAGCATGTTACATCAAATGAAACCAAAGAGCACTTTAAGGAAGTATTATCTGAGGGATGCTTGGGGGACTTCTGTGAACCTGTCTATCAGTGTCGGGAGAATGTCCGAGCCAGATTTTACGATTTGGCGATAGATTACTTTGGCACTATAAATGGTCAAAATCTGTCGTTGGTACCTAAGCCTCATTTTATGTACTACGTGAACAGGATAGCGACACCACCTTCCTATGGTGTGCGTACCATGTTCGAGTTGGCATGTGTCATTATGTGTCCCCTGGTCTCGGAAAACGGAATGATGAATTTATTCAAATGTGCTTGTCCCGATCCGTGTAAACGACAGAAGGCCTGTTCAGTGGAAAATTGTATACAACACGGTTATATGGAGCACCAGTTTGAGTGTAACTGTGACGAAGGATTTGAATGGAATGCTGAAATTTTCACTTGCGTGAACAAGAGGTTTTTGGAGTTACGTCGGCAGATGGAGACTGTAAGAGTTTCACATGGTTTAGTGGTTTCTATGGCACACTATGCATAGATGCTATCACATAGGTACAACCCAGTAACAACCAGTGTTATGAATTTAATAGCCTGCGCCTACAGCCGCATGCGTTCTTTATCGGTCCTATGAAGGCCACAGTAACGCAAATCCGGAACCGGATGCCGCCAACCAGTGTTAAGTTAGATGGAACATGTCACCATAGTGGACATTAATGGGTCTAAGCCTACGTCTCATGAGACACCGCCCTTGTCCACACACAGATTGGCTCACAAAAATGTGCGGGCAAAATAAAATATATGAGCAGCACTACGGTATATTGACCATTAGAATAAGGGCAGAGGTAAGCTGGGGAATCAATAAAAGCACTGTGTGCAGTGCTTTTTGGGTTAAAATGAGCCAAGAATCAAAACGGAACGGAATAGTTATCAGAGATATATTATTACAATCAATGTTTCGCTTGCTGCCCTTTGTGATGCTAGTCGGTTAGAGACACCAGGAATTTAGAGCTGCGCGGATGAATCTCATTAAACGAAATGCCACATAAGTAAATTCCATACAGAATTTGGAACACACTAATTTCTTCTAGGATGGGAATCAGGTGACACTGACTTTCAGTGTTTGTTAATATGTATGTAATGGTCTAGTGGAACATGAGCTGTGCCATTTGGGGACACTACAGAAGCGACGACGGGTCCTGCAGAGAATTACGGCGAGCCGGCACAGCGTTTGTAGGCACGCTGAATTCCATTTACTAACCGCGTGCTTGCGTGCTGTCTCTTTATTTCAGGTGGTGGGTTTACAGTTTTTACCTTAATGCTTTTCTTTCTCATATAAATATCTCCCTGTACTCTATTCCATTAACTTGCACACATCGCTTCAGCCAATTGTATTCGATTTCCATAACATTTTTGTGTTGGTGGCATTCCTTTAACTATACTTCCTGACCTCGTGCACTTAGCTAGGATCTGTTTGTAAATAACTTATTACATATGCTATTTACTTAAGGTTTATATCACCGTTTCCTTATGAATTAATCGAGTTTTTCTCTTTTTCTTTCTCTCTCTCTCAAGTGTTTGGCTGTTGTTTGATAACCCCGGTGTGGCTGCGCTTGATGTGCATGTTGACAAGGTGCCTACCTATCTATTACCCACTACCTCGTCCATACAGGCTCCAGGAGACAGTTGGTCGTTGCTGGAGGGGACAGGGAGCACGGTCATTGTGGCCGTGCTAGGTTCGTAGAGTGGTTCCATGCAGTCAGTGTGGAGCGGACTACGGTCCAGCCACCGCCTTGTGTGCGGTTGATTCCCAAATACAGTGTGCTTGTGTTTGCCTGTGAAGGAGTGTGGGCCGGCTCCGTTGATGAAACGTGGTTCCCATCCGCATGCCTCCCGGTCTTATTCCTTCGGGTTTACACTGGATATGGATTGTGTGGTTGGAGCTGTGGGTGGTGCAGCGCAAGCCATCCATGGTCCCTCTGTAGGCGCAGGCGTCCTGCGGCTTGCCACAGTGACAGGCAAATCCGAAACCGGATGCCGCCAACCATATGGTCCGCACAACACACTTGTGACACAAGTGCTTACTTGTCATATCGTCTTGTACTTACTGTTTAATCGGAAACAAGACTAAACCTAAACACGGTGTGGGGGAAACGACAAAAGAACTGTTGATTTTTTTTTACTGTTGCCTTTCATTGTGCCATGGTTCATAGGACAACTGTCTACAAGCTGTTGAATATATATATATATATATATATATATATATATATATATCAACGTAAATAAATACTTGAGCAGCAAAAGATCTATCAGCTGTGTCTGTACCCGATATTCTTCTTCATTTAATGTTGTACTTTTCTGACGATAAATTGACCCTTAATCTGGGCCTGTGGGTACGGGTAAGCCTTCTACTGGTTTTCCAACGCGCAATGGTTGAACAGCTTTCATAAGCCAGTCGCCCCAAAACACTGGCACCTGCCGTTGTGTTTCAGTACAATGATAATTGACATGTTTCCCACTTACTGTGAACAAAGCTCAGAGACTAGTGCAGAGATCTTGAAGCTACTATCGAGCAGGAGTACAAGTACGCATTTCGTGCACAGTGCAACTTTTTGTTTAGCAAAATTTTGCCAGCCACCTGCACCCATCTGATACAAAGGTGCATGCAATCAGATTTTCGTTGACCAAATTATATATTTCTATGACCAGTTCTTCCAAATGTTGACTTCTATCATAATATATCTCTTTCCTCTATTCATTATCAGCAACAGGCCGATCCATACGAGTTGACCGGGTGCAAGTATGCCATCGAATGCGATGAAGCCGGTACATTATTCTGTACTACTGACGTCACAGGATTGGTATGCAGCCATTTTTGTTGTCATGCGAATAACTGTAAATGTTAAACGTACGCTGGGTTAAGATGTAATTATTTGTTTGACAGTTAACATCGGATGTGTAAGAGGAAACTTAAGGCATCTTCTTAGAGTCGACACACCCCACCTGCATAATTATTGCAATCAAGTGACTCAACTGAGCAAACTGGTCAAAGGAGTTCATTCGGTTGTTTCCCACTTTAGCAGGTTTGAACGATTTGGCGTTCATTGGAAAACTGACAACCATAACCTCACTTAATTACATCAAAATCCTCCTAAGCATGAGTACAGCAAAGTGTATCCACCCTGACATTTTCTAAATGCAATGTTGTACATAGCTACTGTTAATAGGCGTCATGTCATTCGGGGCTAACCCTGTCCTCGGCGATGTTTGTAACTTGCATGGCAGTGGAGGATAATACGCGCTACATCGCAGTTAGCTTGTAAATCATAATGGTCCGAAGTTGTCTCCCTTGGCCCAGTAGCATAATCTGCTGATTGGCGGTTCAAGCCGCTGGTGGTCATGGGTTCGAATCCTGATGGATCCGATGGATGCGCACTACTGATAATGTCCAACAGGCTGAAACTGCAGTCTAGTGCTTTTCCGGGCATGTGGGTGAATATCTGATTTAGAAACTGGCTGCAAAGTACCTCACTTGATAAGCATAACTTGGTTAACTGAGAAATGTAAATTAAGAGTTCAATGACGAAAGAACAATGGAACATTTGTTAATGACGGGTGAAATAGTATACGCCTAACAGGGTTCGCAGTTTGTTCAGGGACTGGATTAAAAAACGGCGACTATGCATGCGAACAAGTTATCATGCGTATCGGTGAGGCGACCACATAACCGCTTATTTGAAGCAATGTTATGGTTGTGGGGTAACATTGCACAAAACAGTGTGCTTAAATATTATTACTAACGCTTCTTGTAAAAACAAAGCAATTGCTTATGCGTTTACACTCATTCCAATGCATTAGTGCGACAAGTAAATTTAACTAAGTTCTAGAATTATGATTCGGGCTACCTTGTCCAAGTTACAAAGAGTGAGGCGCTGTGCATGATTTCCAAAAGTCTTTTGAAGACGGCTGAATTAGAGACAAAAACAAATGAGTCTAGAGGCGCTCCAGGGTGCGCAGACCCAAAGTGAGTTGAAACTTTTTCAATAAGTTGTATAGTGGTAAAGCCAGCATAATTTGAAAAGTATATCTCCCAGATTAGCGTTTTGGCAGGGTTTCGAATGATGGCAACATATGTGATTAGGTTTGCGCAGCATTTGGGATACCACTCTGAGAGCTCTACCCTGTAGAAGGATAGACGCACGAACTAATTCTTGTTTCTTTAGCCGCTCCTGGAACGAAAGTGTCTCACGACCTCGGCAAGCTTTGTGCCTTCGGAGTTTGGCTCATATCTGGTGGGAACACCGTTTGAGAAATAAGCGTCTTCAGCATCTCGTATTTGGTGCAGGAAGAGTGAGTGAACCGGTCAACACCTTACTATTATGCACCAGGCTCCGATGGCTCGAGTCACATGTTGCACACGAACTCTCCCGGCATGTGTTGATGCGCCGGGATGTGGACGAAAGAAAAGGAGAGAAGGCCAAGCGATGACTTGGTCTAGAGGAAGGAAGGCCCTTACTTCGAAGTTGATCTGGGTTTGAAACTCACGCCTCCCTGGTTAGGTCTGAAAGAGTTTGAACACGTTTGACTGGATACACTTGTTGACATAGCAAGGAGCCGAAATTAGCAGTGTTTGTGTTGCGCGTTTCTTTGTCCCCCCCTCCCGCTTAGCCTCCCCTCCAAGCGCTGTCATTTTTTAAGCATAATAGAACGGCTGGTGATTCTCAGAAACAATGCCCATCCGTTACTGGTTGCTCAGCAGGCGTTCCTCTGCCACATTGCCTTTAGTTGTTATTTTCTTATTTCTGGCGGCACAACAGCCGGGGTGTTTTTCACTTTTAGCCGACATGTATAAATATAATGATGATCACTTTCCAGTTTTCGAGCATTGCGAGGTTAAGGTTAAAGCAAGTTTCCCAAACATGAATGTGATGTTTAAGATGAGGACGCACCTGGGTGTTTAGCATCACGACGATGACGGATTAGGTCAAGCTCCCCATCGCTCTACCTAGAAAACCAACTGGTTGATTATCCTTTGCAGAGTGCATTCAGCTTGTCCGGAAATGCAGATGTTGCCTTTTAGGAGGACACAAGGTTACTTGACCTAAGATAGTCAGTTTGAAAGACCACTTTTTCTGACCTCGGCAGAGTCTAGTTTTTGTCAGTCACACGCTGATGCCTCAAATGAGCATTGCAGCTTTAATTCATACATCCGAGGTAATCGGTTGGTCAGTAGCTTTAAACCCCTACCAACCAGACGCTCTGATAGAAGATGTGAATCCTGGATGGTAAAAGGTATCAGCAGTACGCCGGTACGCAGTCCCAACGCATTGCTACTGCGTACTTACCATCAGTTGCACGTGGACTAAGGATACTGCGAGAGTTGCCGGCTCTCTATACAGGCTCGAACCCAAGCCATCGGATTACAAGGTAGGTTTGTGATGCTTAAGGCTACGGACACAATAAAGAAGTATGTTGATTGATGTTTTGCACACTATAGAGGACTGGATAGAGAACTCGACAGGGCATAGTAATCAACGAAACATCACCCCTATGAAAACTTACCCGAACGAATGGAACAATAGCATAATACGAATAAAATAGTTAAGGCTTCATAGATCCCATGGAATGTTTCAAGTGAATTACGTAAATTCAATTTCGTGAAGTCTGCTGAGCATAACATTTGTCTGCGTCTTTCCGTCCCTCCGTGAACAGAAATCAAATCATGTGGTGCAGGTGATGTGATGCATAGTCGAGACGTTGTTTAAAAACGGCTTGCGTGGACGCAGAAATGACAAAGGTCGAAAGAGCATTCCGCGACTGACTAATTCGAGATGAACAATACTTCCGGCGGTATTCCATCCTACTGTATTTGGTGATCAGTTTTAGATAGTGACGCCTCACTTAAGTGTTACGGCCGTTTCAGGAGGTGGCGGCACTTGTGACTGGGACATTACAATACCTGGTACCCCAGAATGAGTTTGCCCCGTAGAAGGCGGTGACTTCCGCTGTACACTCCTAAAGTTTTCAGTCGCAGGTGGTATAGAGGGTAACAATCCCTACAGTTTGCGGTTGCGCTTCGCTGTGCGTTCTCCAGTGAAACCAGATCGTGTTTAGCCGAGTTTGCCATTCCTGAGGCCCCCTGTAATAGCGCCACACCTACGCATTGAGCATGTGGAGGAGGATGGATGCGTCAAACCGCCGGAACACACTATGTAAGAGGTCCACGTTTTGGTTCACGGTTTTTGGTCACCTTCAGTGACTACTCCGCATAACCGAGGTTCTCTTGCAACACCGCCTCAAGGTCACGCTCCTGTGAGGCGGTTTACAACACGTGGCCTCCAAGCATATATGGGACAGTAGGCTTGCGGTCTACATGTATAGTTGTGTACTTGTCAGCATTAAACGGACGTTACTTTGTCTTTAATCAATCAAAGAGACAGTCTAAGTCCCGCTGTAACAGCTCGTGATCTCGCTGACAACCGATCGCTAGCCATATCTTGCTATCATCAGCAAAAAGAAGGAAATTCGATTCGATAACACGCAGGAGTTAATGAAGATCAGAAATAAGCGCGTCCTAACAATGCTCCTTGTGGAACGACGCAGTCCACGTCAATAAGATCAACAATTGATCCCCGAACGTGAAGGTGAAGCGGCCGCTAAAGAAGCAAATTTCCGATCCATCGAAGGACAGGGTTTTCAATTCCGTGTATTTGTAGTGTTTGGAGTGGGATGCGGTGATCTAAGCCATCGAACGCTTTAGAAAAGTAGAGGTAGGTAGCATCAATTCTAGTCCCGCTATCACCTGTTTCGGTTCAACTGCCAAGCACAGTCAATAAATTGGTAACGCGTGAACGGTACTGACGGAAACCGTGTTTCTCTGGCGCCATGATGTTAGATCTTTCTAGATGTCCGATTGGCCTCACAGTTATGACTGACTTCATCAGCTTTGCGAGCTCCAAGAGGTAAATTACTAGGCGATGGTTAGCGGGCCCTGAACGACTACCCATCTTGAAAATAAAGGTAATGACACCCTGTGTTAGCATGCAGGGAACCTGCTGTTCACCCAGAGATCTTTGGAAAAAATTGGGTCAATGTGCCAGCTATCCTCGTAGCTGCTACCTGCAGTGTTATCGGGAGAATGTCGTCAAGACGAAGGAACAATGGGTGCGCAAAACGGTTTTTAAAGTAAAAGTGACGTGGGTAAATACTCGCATCTGGAGGAATGTGACATATGTCACAAGTACCGGTAACGCGTCGGAACACTACGGCGTATTGGAGCTCTAGAATGTTGTCTGCCTCATCGACGGTCTAAGCATATCCATTTGCTGGGGTGAGTGGGGGAACACCACACTACACATTCCGGAGAACGTTCACATGTTTGTACAGAAGCTTGTGTTAGTACAAAACCTTTCCGTTAGTATCGGCTAGTGTACTTACTTGTCCTCACGGACAAGTGTGATACAGTAGGTACGATGTACTAACTGGTTGCTCCTGTTGTCAAGGATAGGGTTCGCCTTATACACGTGCCACGCTGTGTCGCTTAAAGCCAAGCCTTTTCGGGTTCTGCTGCGCTTGAATAATGGAGCTCTTACAGAACGAAGAGGTCTATTTACCGATGTGGATTTAAGAAAATCACTAAACTTGCCAGTAAACTCCGTCCATGTAATATCTGTAGAATGGTCATCCGCCAATGTCCAGATGGCGTCTCCAACAAGTCCTGTTAGTGTGTTGTAGTGTGATTGTTCGAACTGATCAATTATGTTCTTGTGGATTTTCCGCATAACACACATATTTGTAAAGTATTGCTACGTGATCACTCCGCCTCAGATGGCTCTCCACCTTTGGTTTCTCGATCATGAGC